AGAGGAGACCTTGGGGCGGGTCTGAGGACCCATTTTGCGGTAAGGGGACTGCGGAGCCCCCGTGGTTTGTCACTTGCAGTATTTGTTCTCTCTGCCCCTCCGTCCCACAGAAAGGTTAGGAAGGACCCAGCCTCCTGAGAGGCGGGGAAAGGGCAGGGTCGGACGAAGGGGAGCAGTAGGGGAATAGGGTGGTTAGGAAGCCGAGGGCGGGAAAGGAGGGCTGAGAGAGTCGCTGGGGAAAAAAGCAGGGGGAAGAAGTGCAATATCTAAGAAATCGTTCAGGCGTAAGAGAGAGAGATCAGCGTCAAGATGAAAGAATAAAGTGAAAGGTTTTAAAAAATGAGTCTGAGGGAAAGAGAAGAAAGGAAAGCAGCAGCCGGCCCAAGAGGACAATGGATGGTGCCTGGAAAGTACAATTGAAACAATTAGTTTATGCATCCGAAGAAGTGGGTTGTAGCCCACGAAAGCTTATGCTCTAATAAATTTGTTAGTCTCTAAGGTGCCACAAGTACTCCTGTTCTTTTTAATTAGTTTAGAATAAGCTATAGCTATACAGGTGTAAGCACTTCCATACTGGCATAAATGCGTCCACAGGAGGGAAGAGAGTGGTATTATTTATAGGGCTGTCGATTAATCGCAGTTTTAATCGCACTGTTAAACAATAGAATACCAATTGAAATGTATTAAATATTTGGGATGTTTTTCTACATTTTCATATATATTGTATTCTGTGTTGTAATTGAAATCAGTGTATATTATTATTGATTACAAGTACTTGCACTGTAAAAGAAACAATAGAAATAGTATTTTTCAATTCACCTCATACAAGTACTGTAGTGCAATCTCTGTGTGGTGAAAGTGCAATTTACAAAAGTAGATTTTTTTTGTTACATAATCACTCAAAAACAAAACAATGTAAAACTTCAGCGCTTACAACTCCAGTCAGTGCTACAACCCAAGTGCTCGGACAAACAAGTTTGTTTACATTTACAGGATATAATGCTGCCCTCTTCTTATTTACAATATCACCAGAAAGTGAGAATAGGTATTTGCATGGCACTTTGTAGCCGGCATTCATAGAATCATAGAATATCAGGGTTGGACGGGACCTCAGGAGGTCATCTAGTCCAACCCCCTGCTCAAAGCAGGACCAATTCCCAACTAAATCATCCCAGCCATGGCTTTGTCAAGCCTGACCTTAAAAACCTCTAAGGAAGGAGATTCCACCACCTCCCTAGGTAACCCATTCCAGTGCTTCACCACCCTCCTAGTGAAAAAGTTTTTCCTAATATCGAACCTAAACCTCCGCCACGGCGACTTGAGACCATTACTCCTTGTTCTGTCATCTGCCACCGCTGAGAACAGCCGAGCTCCATCCTCTTTGGAACCCCCTTTCAGATAGTTGAAGGCTGCTATCAAATCCCCCCCCTCACTCTTCTTTTCTGCAGACTAAACAAGCCCAGTTTCCCTCAGCCTCTCCCCATAAGTCATGTGCCTCAGCCCCCTGACCATTTTCGTTGCCCTCCGCTGGACTCTCTCCAATTTGTCCACATCCTTTTGGTAGTGGAGGGCCCAAAACTGGACACAATACTCCAGATATGGCCTCACCAGTGCTGAATAGAGGGGAATAATCACTTCCCTCAATCTGCTGGCAATGCTCCTACTAATGCAGCCCAATATGCCGTTAGCCTTCTTGGCAACAAGGGCACACTGCGGACTCATATCCAGCTTCTCATCCACTGTAAACCCCAGGTCCTTTTCTGCAGAACTGCTGCTTAGCCAGCAAGGGGGAAGACTAGCGTGTGAAAAGGCAAGTGATTGTGACTGTAACATCACTGTCTCATTCCTTTGCCCTAGAGCAGTGCTCCCCAGATTTTTTAAAGCTATGAGCTTATCTACACAGTTTTTGTACTGCTTTAACTATATTGGTTTAGAAACTGATAATTAAGCAGTCTAACGCTTTAGTGTGGGGCACAATTGTAGTGGCATAAAGTGTATAGAACAGTCTTAACCCCAACTTCAAGAAAATTAAACAAATCATCCTCCCCACCCCCTTCAATTCTCTCGTATGTTAAAAGCCTATCCAAAATGAGTGGTCACATGAAGTTCCTGCACATTTAAAAAAAACCTTGAAAAAGGCTAGGCTGCTGGTGTGCTGATACCACAGCTTATCACAATGTTGACTAACATTGTGTCATTGTTTCCTTGTACTGTCCTATCAGTCCGTCTGTATTGGTCTGTTGTTGCTTGTAGACTCTTTGTGCCTTTGTGTTCTGTGTTTGTACAGTGCCTAGAACAACAGGACTCTGGCCATAACTGGGGCTCTCCTAGGTGCTCCAACACAAATAATAAATAAATAAATCAGGGCTGTCAAGCGATTAAAAAAATTGTGATTAATCGCACTGTTAAACAATAATAGAATACCATTTATTTAAATATTTTTGGATGTTTTCTACATTTTCAAATATATTGACTTAAATTACAGCACAGAATACAAAGTGTACAGTGCTCACTTTATATTTGTTTTTTATGACAAGTACTTGCACTGTAAAAAAAACAAAATAAATAGTATTTTTCAATTCATCTAATACAAGTACTGTAGTGCAATCTCTTTATCATGAAAGTTGAATTTAAAAAGTAGAATTATGTACAAAAAAACCCTGCATTCAAAAATAAAACAAAGTAAAGCTTTAGAGCCTGCAAGTCCACTCAGTCCTACTTCTTGTTCAGCCAATCACTCAGACAAACAAGTTTGTTCACATTTGCAGGAGATAATGCTGCTTGCTTCTTGATTACAATGTCACCTGAAAATGAGAACAGGCATTCTCATGGCACTGTTGTAACCAGCATCACAAGATATTTATGTGCCAGATGCGCTAAAGATTCATATGTCCCTTCATGCTTCAACCCCATTCCAGGGGATATGCTTCCATACTGATGACAGCTTCTGCTCGATAACAATCCAAAGCAGTGCGGACCAATGCATGTTCATTTTCATTATCTGAGTCAGATGCCATCAGCAGAAGGTTGATTTTCTTTTTTGGTGGTTCGGGTTCTGTTGTTTCCTCATCAGAGTGTTGCTCTTTTAAGACTTTTGAAAGCATGCTCCACACCTCGTCCCTCTCAGATTTTGGAAGGCACTTCAGATTCTTAAACCTTGGGTTGAGTGCTTTAGCTATCTTTCGAAATCTCACATTGATACCTTATTTGCGTTTTGTCAAATCTGCAGTGAAAGTGTTCTTAAAATGAACATGTGCTGGGTCATCAACTGAGACTGCTATAACATGAAATATATGGCAGAATGCGGGTAAAACAGAGCAGGGGACATACAATTGCCTTCTTGGCAACAAGGGCACACTGGCGACTCATATCCAGCTTCTTGTCCACTGTAACCCCTAGGTCCTTTTCTGCAGAACTGCTTCCTAGCCATTCGGTCCCTAGTCTGTAACAGTGAATGGGATTCTTCCATCCTAAGTGCAGGACTCTGCACTTGTCCTTGTTGATCCTCATCAGGTTTCTTTTCACCCAATCCTCTAATTTGTCTAGGTCCCTCTGTATCCTGTCCCTACCCTCCAGCGTATCTACCACTCCTCCCAGTTTAATGTCATCTGCAAACTTGCAGGATGTGGAAAAAGCTAATGTACTCAATGCTTTTTTTGCCCCCGTCTTCACAAACAAGGTCAGCTCCCAGACTGCTGCACTGGGCAGCACAGTATGGGGAGGAGGTGACCAGCCCTCTGTGGAGAAAGAAGTGGTTCGGGACTATAAGGTATCAATGTGAGATTTCGAAAGAGTTTTGGGCCCCCAACTCAAAAAGGATGTGGACAAATTGGAGGGAGTCCAGCGGAGGGCAACGAAAATGGTCAGGGGGCTGAGGCACATGACTTATGAGGAGAGGCTGAGGGAACTGGGCTTGTTTAGTCTGCAGAAAAGAAGAGTGAGGGGGGGATTTGATAGCAGCCTTCAACTACCTGAAGGGGGGTTCCAAAGAGGATGGAGCTCGGCTGTTCTCAGTGGTACCAGATGACAGAACAAGGAGCAATGGTCTCAAGTTGCAGTGGGGGAGGTCTAGGTTGGATATTAGGAAACACTATTTCACTGGGAGGGTGGTGAAGCACTGGAATGGGTTACCTAGAGAGACCTGGCCTCCCCAACTAAATTGGTCCTGCTTTGAGCAGGGTGTTGGACTAGATGACCTCCTGGCGTCTCTTCCAACCCAAATCTTCTATGATTATGTCCTGCATATGTAGAAATTAACATTCTTGCACTCTGGCACAAGGTGTTTTGTGTTTCCTTGTGTGAGTGAAGACACAAAGCCATCCTTTCTCTGTGAGGATGGCTCACGAAGAAATATAAAATATACTTCCAAGGCAGACGGTGACCTATCTGTCAAGGGTAGAGAGTTTTTTTTAAACTAGTTTTACCTGCAGCTTCGCTGGTGGTGCTGTGTCTGGGGATCATTGGCTCAGGTAGCACCATGAGTTGCTTAACTTCTCTGTATCTTTATGAACAAAGGGAATTGCCCTGGTTATGCCCTGTGCTGGGATCCCTCCTATGAGGGCAGAGTGGCTGTAGTGGGGATACTCTAGGGGTTCAGCCCCATTCTGTGAAAGTCGTGGTTAGAGCTGGACCCCAGACTTCACTGCCCTGTGGCCAGGTGGTTGGGAGTCACTCCTCAGACAAAAACGAGGAGTCCTTGTGACACCTTAGTGACTAACAAATTTATTTGAGCATAAGCTTTCGTGGGCTAGAACCCACTTCACCGGATGCATGGAGTGGAAAATACAAGCTGGAATCTGTAGGCTCCTAGAGACTTTTTAGTGAGAAAACCATGTTGTCAAGCAGAGCTTGGCTGTCGGGAAGGCGGAAGGGAGCACACAGGGGGAGTGGGCTGAGGTGGAACTGCCTGACCCAGGGCGGGGCTGGGGGCCAGAAAGGGAGGAGAGGGGGTGGGGCCGATTGACACGCTGAGTTGGGGCGAGTCTCGAAGGCTCCTGGGCGGAAGCTCGCTTGCGGCTGCCGCTTCTCGGTGCCGGGTCGGGCTCGGAGCCAAGCCTTGCTGGGATGGTGCCTCCCGGGGAGCCGGGGCTGCTGGCCTGCGGCGGGGCCGATGACCTGGCTGCCCTGGAGGAGCTGGACGAGGCGAGGTTGCTGCAGAATCTGAGCGGCCGCTTCCTGCAGCAGCGAGTCTATGTGAGGGGGGAGCCGGGGCCGGGGCCGTCGTGGGGGGGGCCCGAGGGGGTCTGCTGTCGGGTCTCCCCTCGTTGGGAAATGACTGGAGGGTGGGAGAGGGGACCCCCGCGGGACACCAGGCGGAGGTGGGGGCGGGCGACTGACCCCACGGGACGCTGGAAGTGTGTAAGGGGGCTGAGGGACACCGGGGGGGGGGGCAGGAGACCCCGCAGGACATCGTGTGACACTGTGGGTGTGGGGGGGGGGCTCCAGGGATGGGGGAGTAGGTGACCCCGCGGGTCACTGGGGGTGTGTCGGGACACCAGGAGCGTGTGGGCAGTGCTTAATTTGTGCTGCCAGGGCTGAGCCCCAGCACCCCTATGCTTGCAGCCTCAATTATGCAAATAAAAAAAATGCTTGAGCCCTGGGGTACCTCTTTCATTACAAATTAAGTACTGTATCTGGTGTTGGAGGGAGACCCAGGGGAACACTGGAGACGTGTTGGGTGGGAGACCCTGTGGGACACTGGGGAAGTTGGGGAGGGAGACCCCATGGGACCTGGTTTCCTCGCCACTCCTCAGTAGTGTAGTGCAAGGGGTCCATGGGGCACTGTGCAATGTTTGCTTACCTGGTTGGTGGGAATTTTCCTTTTACATCAGACATATATTGGGGACATTCTGATTGCGGTGAACCCGTTCCAGAGTCTTCCGCTCTACGAGAAACCAGTAAGTGTCCCCTCATTCCAGTGTATGGTGTGAGTAGCATGAGTGTGTGGCGTCTCCTGCTGGTGTAGGCCTGGTGGGGGGAGGTGCAGGTGGCCTTCTGCGCGGGGCGGGCCAGACAAGGGAACAGAATTGTGCACCCTTTGCTCTTGATGTTTGAATCACATTACTTCCCTGTGAAGTTACATTGTTACCCATAAGGAATATGACTAGTTGGGCTTTTGTAGGAGGCTTTTCCATGTACTTTTGAGTTCCTATTTTTTTCAAAAATGTAGTAAGTCTCATATGGATTTTGTCAGCTGTGTTTTGATTTCTCTGTCACCCATGGCTCTAGGTGCTTCATCCTATTTGAAACAAACAAAATATTTTAGACAGTTTTAAATCTACAATGTACTCATTGAACTGACCATCCAGTAGTAAAAAACAATCCTGCTTGCAGCAACCCTCACGTCATACCTACTGTTTACACCCTACCCTCGCCCTCCTCCCCACAAATGCTCAAGAACAGAGATAACCTTCTGGCTTATTGCAAAGGTCCTAAGCAGGGCAGTGGCATGGGGTTCCGGGGCGCATTATGTTTGTGGATATCTTCATCTGACATATGGTGTATTGTTTGATCTGCTCTATCAAACCCTGGAAAATGTAATCTAAACTACATATTAAAAAAAAGAAACCAACAACTCTGATGGTTTCTCCCTCCCTTGTCTCAGTGGCTAGCCGAAGTGAGGAGGGGAGAATTTACCCTCTGTCCCCTAACTGTTCTGGTATTTCACTTTAATTGAATTCTCCCCCTGCTCCTAGGTATCCGAGAAATATCAGAACCATGACAAGGGCACCCTACCCCCCCACATCTTTGCTATTGCTGACAGAGCATACCAGGCCATGCTGGGGCATCTGGCAACAGGACCTCAGAACCAGTGTATTGTCATCAGGTAAGAGAAAACAATTCAAAATATTGGTAGGTCTCCATATCGTGGGACAGTATGGTCTTGTCAGACCAGCATCACTGAAAGGGAAAGCAGACAAGATGGAACTATCAACTTTGCACCTTCTAGTCTGTGGCCAGTGCCCTTATTAAACTGGTGTTTAAAGAAGGGGGAATGAAGACCAAAGGCCGCTTGCTGGAATCCATTGAAGTGCTTATTATGGTGGTTGAAACAGAAGCTGTAAGGTGTCTTCCCACATACCCACCCTTTGCCCTTCCCATTCCTTTCTTAAGAGTTGACTACAGGGGCAGTGAGTTCAGAGTCATAGAATCATAGAAGATTTGTCAAGCCAGGCCTTAAAAACCTGCCTTAATGATCTGGAGGATGGCGTGGACTGCACCCTCAGCAAGTTTGCAGATGACACTAAACTGGGAGGAGTGGTAGATACGCTGGAGGGTAGGGATAGGATACAGAGGGACCTAGACAAATTAGAGGATTGGGCCAAAAGAAATCTGATGAGGTTCAACAAGGACAAGTGCAGAGTCCTGCACTTAGGAAGGAAGAATCCCATGCACTGCTACAAACTAGGGACCAAGTGGCTAGGCAGCAGTTCCGCAGAAAAGGACCTAGGGGGTTACAGTGGACGAGAAGCTGGATATGAGTCGCCAGTGTGCCCTTGTTGCCAAGAAGGCTAACGGCATTTTGGGCTGTATAAGTAGGGCATTGCCAGCAGATTGAGGGACGTGATCATTCCCCTCTATTCGACATTGGTGAGGCCTCATCTGGAGTACTGTAGCCAGTTCTGGGCCCCAAACTACAAGAAGGATGTGGAAAAATTGGAAAGAGTCCAGCGGAGGGCAACAAAAATGATTAGGGGGCTGGAGCACATGAGTTATGAGGAGAGGCTGAGGGAACTGGGATTGTTCAGTCTGCAGAAGAGAAGAATGGGGAGGGGGGCGGATTTGATAGCTGCTTTCAGTTATCTGAAGGGGGGTTCCAAAGAGGATGGATCTAGACTGTTTTCAGTGGTGACAGATGACAGAACAAGGAGCAATGGTCTCAAGTTGCAGTGGGGGAGGTCTATGTTGTATATTAGGGGGGGAAAAAATTCACTAGGAGGGTGGTGAAGCACTGGAATGGGTTACCTAGGGAGGTGGTGGAATCTCCTTCCTTAGAGGCTTTTAAGGTCAGGCTTGACAAAGCCCTGGTTGGGATGATTTAGTTGGGGATTGGTCCTGTTTTGAGCAGAGGGTTGGACTAGATGACCTCCTGCAGACCCTTCCAACCCTGATACTCTGATTCTATGAACCTCTAAGGATGGAGATTCCACCACCTCCCTAGGTAACCCATTCCAGTGCTTCACCACCCTCCTAGTGAAATAGATTTCCCTAATATCCAGTATTAAATTCTGCAAAAATTGAAGGGAGCCCCAGTATGATGATGGCCTGGGGTTTTGGCCAGATGTGTCTTATTGAACAATGCTCACAGGGAGAAGAAATGACAGAGAAAGAATATATGTGTCTGGGGCAGACGTGCTTTGGGATCACAGATCACTTGGGTAATAAATATTATCAGGCTCCGAGTTAGAGAATGGATGGCAGCTCTTGGAGTTTGTGCCTGGACAATTAGGTACATCAGTGGTGAGAAATATTAATAGGAAACTCACCCTTTCTTTCCAGACAAGGACCTGGCTACAGTGATTTGCTTGTTGTCACCTTCAGATTGGATAACTGTAACTCGCTGTATCTGTAGAAGCAATGCAGAGATGGAAGTGATGTGCAAAATCCAGCTCCCTGCCTTCTCAAGGGGATGGGCTGCTGCAAATACTTTACACCTGTGCTCTGATCCCTCAGCTGTTTCCCAGTCTTCTTCCATTGCTTGTTTGAGGTTCTGATATTCAGTGTCCTCAGTGGTTCAGGACCAAGCTTAATTTGCAAACGCATCTCCATCCACAACCTATTTGAGGGCACTGTTTTTCTGGAGCAATACAGCTGCCAAAGCCCATGGTGAAGTGCATGAGAGATGGAAGTAAATATTTTTGGGTGAGGCAGTTCAGTGTGGAGATTGAGCTAATTGGGAGTCTGACCCACTTTGAAGTTTGCTGTAGGTGCCTCCTCTTTGGGAAAAGCAGCTCCTACTGTAACTAGTATAATGAGGATTAAAAAAACAAAATAAAACCTTATTCCCAAAGTTGAGGCTCCAATAACCACAGAGTCAAGGAAGGAAGAAGAGCAGAAACCACCCCCTCATCCCACCTCCGAGCCCTTTAGAGACCTGGCTATGGAGATCTAATTGACCTGGGGTGCTCTAGACACTACAGCAATGGGCAGTATAACATAGATACTTATAAAGGGAGTGAATTTGCTGTGGAACCCTGACATGATAAACAGGGAACCCCATGATGTCATCATTAGACTTAGTGGAACTGTACAGTTCCACGGAGGGAACCAGCTGGAAGCAAAAGCCCCTTGGGCACAACTGAGGGAACACAGCTGCTGACTGAGGGCCCAGCTCTTCAGTCAGCAGCGCAGAAGTAAGGCTGGCAATACCATATCATGCCATCCTTACTTCTGTGCTGGTGCTGGCGGTGACTCTGCCTTCAGAGCAGGGCTCCTGGCCAGCAGCCGCCACTCTCCATCTGCCCAGCTCTGAAGGCAGCACTGCCACCAGCTGCGGTGCAGAAGTAAGGTTAGCAGTATTGCAGTCCCCCGCACAAAACTTTGTGATTTTTTCCCCCCCACCACCCCTCCAACTTTTTTGGGTCAGGACCCCTACAATTTACAACACCATGAAATTTCAGATTTAAATGGCTGAAATAATGAAATGTACGATTTTAAAAATCCTATGACCGTGAAATTGACCAAAATGGATGGTGAATTTGGTAGGGCCTTAATCATATCATATATATCAGGTTATTAACTAGCTTCTCCAGTGCTACAACAGGAAGTTCATGGTTTGCGTTATCTGCAAACAGCAAAGGCAATAACTGAGAACACTTAGTGTGAATAAAGATCTGGGGAAGGGGGAAGGGAAGGCACCCTTATTACACATAGCTAAGGCTACGTTTTAGTCATGGGTATTTTTAGTAAAAGTCATGGACAGGTCACAGGCAATAAAGAAAAAGTCACGGCCCCGTGACCTGTCCATGACTTTTACTAAAAATACCTGTGACTAACTCTTACCTGCTGGGAGGGGGGTGTTCCAGAAGACTGCTGCGGGGGGGGCGGCCCGGCCTGGCCCAGGGCCCCCAGCCGCTGCTGCAGGGGGTGGCCCCGGGTCCCCCTGCCACCGCCACCAGTACGAGCGGGGGACAGCCTGGGGCCCCCCCGCCTCCACTGCTGGTCTGGGCAGGGGAGGGCCCGGGGCCCTGCCAATGCTGGTCTGGGCGGAGGACGGCCTGGGGCCCTGGGGCCCCACCGCCTCTTGTCCCGGACCACTGCTCCAGGGCAGCGCTGGGGACCAGCTGCCTGGGGCTGCCAGAGCAGTGACTGGTGCGGCTGGCCCCGGGGCTTCCCCAGCTGCCGGGGTGGTCCTGGGGTCAGCTGCACCAGCACTGCAAAATTCACAGAGGTCACGGAAAGTAACAGGAGCCGTGACTTCCATGACCTCCGTGAATGATTCGCAGCCTTACACATAGCCCGTCGAAGTAGCAGCTAGTATTGGGGCAATGTTTTATTCCATTGCTTCTGGGCACACAGATTGTCACACAGATGAGAGGTCCCATCTTTAACTGACCAGGAAATAGCATGGTCTCTGTGATCTGTACATTCCTCACTACCCAGATTAGTCACTGCAACTCACTCTGCTGGGTCCAAATGCAAATGTGTCTCAGAGACTTCAGCTGGCGCATTGCGTAACAGCCATCTCCTAAGTAACAAAGGTAGATATGATCACATTGCCCTGTTCTCTGAATTCCACTGTCTCCATTCCTGCTGGTGTCAAAGCTAAATTAAGTCCTCGCCTTAATATGCTTTGCTCTAGGACCTGGCCAACTGGGAGATACCCTCAGGTAGCTGTATTCAGCGTGCGCAATACAGGGGACAGAGTTATCTCAGCAGCAGGATCTGGTGATGGAACTCCCTGTCAGAGGGCAGTGTTGAGACCTATAGAGCCTTTCCTCAGCCGTGGCTCCCATTAAAACTAACCAGCTGCCCCAACCCTGCGACCTGGGGGAGGGCAGGCATTACATAGTTCCTGACTCCAAGAGCTTACATTCTGTCTTTTTATTCTATATTTGTGTGATACCCAGCACATTGGGGGCCCTTATCCATGACTGGGGTTCCTAGATAATGCCACAATATAAATAATAACGGGACACTAAATGCCCTCAGTTTCTTTGTAGCTGTTCAGTGCTTAAGTGCATAGATGATGAGTGCCCTAGAAATACCATAAAGAGAAGGTGGTTTTAGTGATTACTGTGTAGGGCCATGAGCATCCAGTGGAAGTCTGGGTGGGTCACAACCCCCTTTTGGAAACTGGTGTGTCTCTGTAACCCAATAACAGAAGGCTGGGACTTTTCCTCCTTGCTGAGTGCCAAACTGGCACACTATACCCCTCCCCCACATACCAGAGCAATACCCAACCACCTGGCTATGTGTTGACCCTAGATTCCTGTCCAGCCTGGTGCATGTCAAATCAAGATGGTCTCCCTTTCTCCTTTGCTGCTGTCCTATGTCTTGTTTAGAGAGAGGAGTTCAGGTCACCAGCCCCCCACCACCTGAATCCCAGGAGTCTGCTTGTCCCAGCACTCCAGTAGACTGTACATCTCCCCTCCACTACACCCTGTAGCCACAGAGAGCTGCAGAGCAGAAGCCACACCTGGGACACAAAGTGCAGTGCCCAGGTGTGTAAACAGTCCTGCCCTTTGGAGTATGTGCGCTATTTCCTGCTTCTGCTCTGTGACTGACAGATCTTCACACAGGATGAAGTCTTAGTGCACATGTGCTGTCACGGGACCACAGCCCAATTAAGGACATGGAAGCAGTGGGATGAGTTCTGCTTGTAAGGGTGGGGAGGGGAGGGAATGCCTAGTATATGTGAAGGATTCAGTGAGACAGGTGCCTTTCAAGGTCATTCCTCCCTCTTTGCCAAGAGCTGGGGACACTAAGAAATTCCTTTTGGCTCCACTGCTTAAGGGGCTGCCCAGTGGGTCAAGTTCACAGATAGGTGGGAGACAATGTCAGTGTGGGTAAGACCCCTCCATCCCTAGGGTCAGGGAAGAATCTCAAGTGGAGGGTGTTAAATTGCTACACTGTGTGTGGAGGCTTACTAGGGGATCAGTGCCCTATAGAACCTGTTGCCAGGGGGGGATGGGTCAAGGTAGTGCTAATGTGGGCACTGCCAGTAGGAGGCACCTGGAGCTGTGCAGTAGTGTTGGTACATGGGGGGGGGGGGGGGGGGGGGTTGGGGAAAGGGGGGGGGCGCTGGGGGAGAGGGGGGGGGGGGGGGGGGGGGGGGGGGGGTGTTGGTTCAGAGAAAGGGGAGATGCACTGAGGCATAAGGGGAACAGCAGCTGCGTCCTAGTGGTGGTAGAGTTTCCTGTCCTCACCCTCTGCTCTTTTTTGACAGCGGAGAGAGTGGTGCAGGGAAAACCGAGAGTGTAAAGCTACTGCTGCAACACATCATGCACCTGTGCAAGGGCAACTCACAGCTGGAGCAGCAGATACTGCAGGTGAGTCGCTGAAATAGAATGTGGGGGGACAGACGGAGGGGTGGTCACAGAGCAACTCACGGTTGGCTCGGGGTTCTACAGATGAGTCACTGGGAGTGGCAAAAGCACAGGGTAAATGAAATCTTAGCAATGGTATAAATCCAATACTAGATTGTCAGACGTGATGTGGACAAGACACATGGGTTCATTAAATATTTGGCAAGAAGCGGGATGATATACTGATTACTGAAATAATTTCTATTCCGTCAGTAATTAGGGAGGATGTTAAACAGCATCTTTTCAAGTTAAAGATTTCTAAATCAGCAGGACCAGATAAATTGTATCTAAGAATGTTAAAAGAATCAGCTAAGGAGTTCTCTGAACCATTAATGTTTTTTATTAAATCTTGGAACACTGGGGAAGAGTCTAGTCCAGTGGACTAGAAAATATCCAATGTTGTGCCAATATTTAAAAAGAATAAACAGTATGTCCCTGGTCATAGGCTGGTTAGCCTGATGTTGATCCCAGTCAAAATCATGGAAAGGCTGGTATGGGATGCAGTCAGTAAAGATGCTGTAGCTAAGAGGGCAAATATGATCATTGAATGTATGTGGAGGGGAGTATCAAGTAGAAACAGGGAGGTGGCATTGCTTCTATATACAGCATTAATGAAACCATTATTGGAATAGTGTGTTCAGTTCTGGTGTCCACTCCTCCAAAAGGATGCTGACAAATTGGAAAGGGTTCAGAAGAGAGCTACAAAAATGATTCAAGGTCAGGAAAACCTGCCTTACGGTGAGAGACTAAAGAAACTCTTTAGGTTGGGGATCGACTGGCTAAGCAGCAGTTTGCAGAAAAGGACCTGGGGATTACAGTGGGCGAGAAGCTGGATATGAGTCAGTAGTGTGCCCTTGATACCAAGAAGGCGAACGGCATATTGGGCTGTATTAGTAGGAGCATTGCGAACCGATCAAGGGAAGTGATTATTCCCCTCTATTTGGCACTGGTGAGGCCACATCTGGAGTATTGCGTCCAGTTTTGGTTCCCCCACTACAGAAGGGATGTGGACTAATTGGAGAGAGTCCAGCGGAGGGCAACAAAAATAATTAGGGGGCTGAGACACATGACTTGCAAGGAGAGGCTGAGGGAACTGGGGTTATTTAGTCTGCAGAAGAGAAGAGTGAGGGAGGATGGAGCTAGGCTGTCCTCAGTGGTGGCAGATGACAGAACATGAAGCAATGGTCTCAAGTTGTAGTGAGAGAGGTCTAGATTGGATATTAGGAAACACTTTTTCACTAGGAGGCTGGTGAAGCACTGGAATGGGTTACCTAGGGAGGTGATGGAATCTCCATCCTTAGAGACTTGACAAAGTCCTGGCTGGGATGATTTAGTTGGTGTTGGTCCTGCTTTGAGCAGGGGGATGGACTAGATGACCTCCTGAGGTCTCTTCCAACCTTAGTATTCTATGATAGCTCAGTCTATTTAGTTTATCCAAGAGAAGGTAAATGGGTAACTTGATTATTGCCTACGTTTACCTACCTGGGGGGAAAGAGATTTCAGATAGCAGAGGTCTCTTTAATCTAACAAACAAAGGCATAACAAGATCCAGTTTCTGAACGCTGAGTCTAGACAAATTCAGACTGGAAATAAAGTACACATATTTAACAAAAAGAACAAGGAGAACTTGTGGGACCTTAGGGTGCCACAAGTACTCCTCGTTCTTTCTGCTGATACAGACTAACACGGCTACCACTCTGAAACATATTTAACAGTGAGGGCAATTAACCATTGGAACAACTGACATAAGGATGTGATGTATTCTTCATCACTTGAAGTACAGTTTTTTAATTCAAGACTAGATATCTTTTTAAAGGAGGTGCTATAGCTCAACCAGAAGTTAGGTGCTTGATGGAGTGATTACTGGGGGAGTTTCTCTGGCCTCTTATGCAGGAGGCCAAATTAGAGAGTCATAATGGTCCCTTCTGGCTTTAAAATCTATGAATTGCAGCTGGAGTATTGGAACCTGCAGGTGAGTCACTGCAGGAGGTTGGGGGCATAGGGCAACCTGTAGTGGAGCAGTGGAGCTTTCTCATATTTGCAGATTATCATGTGGCGGGGCCCTTCCATTCCCGGTCATTATTAGCCAAGCTTGACAGATTCTTTTCTGAGTCCTATAACTCAGTCCTTCTGCCCCATATTAATTTCTCTATGAACTTCCCCCAGTGCGTCTATCTTTCTGTCATTGAGTTCGCTAGACCTGCACACAGTGTCCCATGTGGGGCCATCCATGAGAGGGACCCCTCCTCACCCTCACTGATTGGTGGGAGTGGGAGGCGTCTGGGATTGAGGGGCTGAGGGCAGAATCCCAAGGGTTCTCTCCAGGACCTGACAGACTATCCTCTCCTTGCTCCAGGATGTGGTGCCTTTGCTTATACAGTCCATGGTTGCATTGGATTATTTTGCTGCCGTGTGCATTTCCAGCTGCATTTGAGCAACTCAAATCTTATTTTTTTCTCTCTGGCTCCTCAAGAGGCCATGAAGCATAAACATAAGAACGGCCGTACTGGGTCAGACCAAAGGTCAATCTAGCCCAGTATCCTGTCTATCGACAGTGGCCAGTGCCAGGTGCCCCAGAGGGAGTGATCCTAACAGGTAATGATCAAGTGAGCTCTCTCCTGCCATCCATCTCCACCCTCTGACAAACAGAGGCTAGGGACACCATTCCTTACCCATCCTGGCTAATAGCCATTAATGGATTTAACCTCCATGAATTTATCTAGTTCTCTTTTAAACCCTGTGATAGTCCTAGCCTTCACAACCTCCTCAGGCAAGGAGTTCCACAGATTGACTGTGCACTGTGTGAAGAAGAACCTCCTTTTTTTTTGTTTTAAACCTGCTGCCCATTAATTTCATTTGGTGGCCCCTCGTGCTTGTATTATGGGAATAAGTAAATAACTTTTCCTTATCTACTTTCTCCACATCACTCATGATTTTATATACCTCTATCATATCCCCCTTTAGTCTCCTCTTTTCCAAGATGAAAAGTCCTAGCCTCTTTAATCTCTCCTCATATGGGACCCATTCCAAACCCCTAATCATTTTAGTTGCCCTTCTCTGAACCTTTTCTAGTGCCTGTATATCTTTTTTGAGGTGAGGAAACCACATCTGTACACAGTATTCAAGATGTGGGCGTACCATCGATTTATATAAGGGCAATAATATATTCTCAGTCTTATTCTCTATCCCCTTTTTAATGATTCCTAACATCCTGTTTGCTTTTTTGACCGCCTCTGCACACTGCGTGGACGTCTTCAGAGAACTATCCATGATGACTCCAAGATCTTTCCTGATTTGTTGTAGCTAAATTAGCCCCCATCCTATTGTATGTATAGTTGGGGTTATTTTTTCCAGTGTGCATTACTTTACATTTATCCACATTAAATTTCATTTGCCATTTTGTTGCCCAATCACTTAGTTTTGTGAGATCTTTTTGAAGTTCTTCACAGTCTGCTTTGGTCTTAACTATCTTGAGCAGTTTAGTATCATCTGCAAACTTTGCCACCTCACTTTTTACCCCTTTCTCCAGATCATTTATGAATAAGTTGAATAGGATTGGTCCTAGGACAGACCCTTGGGGAACACCACTAGTTACCCCTCTCCATTCTGAGAATTTACCATTTATTCCTACCCTTTGTTCCCTGTCTTTTAACTAGTTCTCAATCCATGAAAGGACCTTCCCTCTTATCCCATGACAACTTAATTTACGTAAGAGCCTTTGGTGAGGGACCTTGTCAAAGGCTTTCTGGAAATCCAAGTACACTATGTCCACTGGATCCCCCTTGTCCACATGTTTGTTGACCCCCTTCAAAGAACTCCAATAGATTAGAAAGACACGATTTTCCTTTACAGAAACCATGTTGATTTTTGCCCAACAATTTGTTGTTCTAGGTGTCTGACAATTTTATTCTTTACTATTGTTTCAACTAATTTGCCCGGTACTGATGTTAGACTTACTGGTCTGTAATTGCCGGGATCACCTCTAGAGCCCTTTTTAAATATTGGCGTTACATTAGCTATCTTCCAGTCATTGGGTACAGAAGCCGATTTAAAGGACAGGTTACAAACCCTAGTTATGAGGCTGTTTCACATGATACCTTCTGCAACCTCGTTGGGCCATTGTAGATGGGAGGGGACGTTATGGGTTCCATGTTGCTTAGACCTCCCCATCAGCTCTGTGCATTTCCCTTCCAGGTGAACCCATTGCTCGAAGCCTTTGGCAATGCACAAACAGTGATGAATGACAACAGCAGCCGCTTTGGAAAATACATGCAGCTGAGGTTCCAAAGGAGTACAGGTGAGACCCAGGACTAGGTCTCTGGGTGTGTGGAACCTGCCATCTGTGTGCTGATTTCTTTCCTTCTGCCCCTTCCCCGTGTAGTGAGGGGTGCCAAGCTGAGTGAGTATCTGCTAGAGAAGTCTCGTGTGGTGCAACAAGATGCTGGAGAGAGGAATTTCCATGTCTTCTACTATATGTTTGCTGGGCTCACTGCAGAGGAAAAGGAGATGTATGGGCTGCTAGATCCCTCGTTGTACAGGTATGTGAGTGGCAGGTCCTGCTCTGGCTTCTCAGTGGAGTGGAGGTCAGAATAATGGGCTCCTACAGCCCTATATGGGAGGGAGTGGGGAAAAGGATTTGACTTGGTGGACGGAAACCCCAAGCTGTTACTTTTTAAGATGTAGATTTTTTGCTCATGTGGCTTTTCCTGCCAATGTATAGCCATTTAGCGGGTGATGGCCCATTTGGCCTATTTATACCTGGCTGAGGCGCCAGTTTGTCCTTTCATAGAATCATAGGACTGGAAGGGACCTCGAGAGGCAGGACTAAGTATTTGGTCTCTGAGGAACTGGTTTGGCTGCTTCCCAGATCGGAATAGATCTTAGTAACACCATACAGTGGAATCTTATAACTTTATGAGCACAATATTGACCAGTGAGTTATGAGTTTTCAAATGATACCTCACAAGGCATATTTAGACAAAGATTATTATAATAGCGTGCATGGGGTGAATACAGGGGTACAGAGCATCACAGAATGTAGACTGTACCCTAATACAAATAATATCAGGTTGACTCACTTGTCTCCCCAGATACATAAGTGGATGGTTTAGGACAGAGGATGTGGTTGAGTGCTGGAAGGACAAGTACCTGGAGATGCGTAATGCCCTAGACATGGTGGGCTTCCAGGAACAGGTGAGTACAGTGTGCATTCTGTCACCATCTCCACCCTCTCAGCTCAGTCAGCCCATTTGCTCCACTTCTACTTCCCTCCTTCAGTTTGCTGTGCTGCTTGCAGGCAGGCAGATTCAGTGTAGATCTCCTTTCCCTCCCGCCACATACCTGACCTTCCTCTCCCTCCACCACTGCAGGAAGTTTGAAGTTCCACTGGAAGGGGGCTGCTTGCTCATCATGTGTATGTACATGCCCACACACATCTGTGGGTGCCAGCCCCAAGCCATCTCTGTTGTGTATTTTAGGAGCAGGTGGACATGCAGGCAATCCTGGCCGGAGTCCTGTCTCTGGGCAATGTGACCTTCCAGTCCCAAGAGAACAATGGGGCCCTGAGAGTGAGTGAAGCCTCCAAGGGGTGGCTGAAAGCTTCAGCGGTGAGTCGAGTGAGAGGCTCAGAGGAGTGAGACAAGATTGTGCTCCCACTGGGGACCCATGTGAGGTTTGGGGAATATTTATATTAGGAATGCTCTTTAAATCCATGTATGAAGGGTAGATGAGGTCCACTGCTTGGGTCCTCCCATTCTTTGGGTGCCTCTTATGCTACACCTGACTGATGCAGCAGAGGGGACTCCTATCCCTGATTCTAAAGACGCTACAGAAGAATTAGGAGTTCTCCCAGGAATGCACCAGATTGCCCCAGTGACTGGTATCTTCAAGCCCTCTTCTCTTCCACCATGCTCCTTATGTGGATTTTAATCAACAGCAGGTTACTCAGTTCAAAGCCAGGTTCAAAATTGGAGCAGAAGATGGGCTGGGGCTACAGACCAATATTTTTCTCTCTCAACCACTCACATCCTGGCAGCATCCAAATCCTGCTTTCTCCATATTGTATTGAAAATCTGATCCGTCTTCTCTCCTCAAAGCTAAAACACTTGGTCAGACTCTCCTGTTTCAATTACTACAACCTTTTTCTCTCTAGCCTGACACCCACATCACTCTTCATCCCAGTTTGTCAAAACACAGGTACTAGACTTATTTTTCTCACCTGTTGATCTGACAGCACCACTCCTCCCACAGGCCCGCTTGCACACTGCATCAGATCTGGCCTTGGTGGGGGGCAGTATAGAATCATAGAATATCAGGGTTGGAAGGGACCTCAGGATGTCATCTAGTCCAACCCCCTGCTCAAAGCAGGACCCAATCCCCAACTAAATCATCCCAGCCAGGGCTTTGTCAAGCCTGACCTTAAAAACCTCTAAGGATTCCACTACCTCCCTAGGTAACCCATTCCAGTGCTTCACCACCCTCCCAGTGAAAAAGTTTTTCCTAATAGCCAACCTAAACCTCCCTCACTGCAACTTGAGACCATTACTCCTTGTTCTGTCATCTGGTATCGCTGAGAACAGTCTAGATCCATCCTCTTTGGAATCCCCTTTCAGGTAGTTGAAAGCAGCTATCAAATCCCCCTTCATTCTTCTCTTCTCCAGACTAAATAATCCCAGTTCCCTCAGCCACTCCTCATAAATCATGTGCTCCAGCCCCCTAATCATTTTTGTTGCCCTCCGCTGGACTCTTTCCAATTTTTCCACATCCTCCTTGTAGTGTGGGGCCCAAAACTGGACACAGTACAGAGGTCCCCCCAGGTTACGCAAACTCAACTTACGCAAATCCGCACTTACGGAAAAAGTTCCGTAAGCTAGAAATAGGAGGGTTTTTCCCTTTTTTTTTTTTTTTTTTGGCGTAATGGTCGGGTATATGTTTCTGACTTGCGCAAAATTCGAGTTACGCAAGGCGTAACGGAACGCTTACGTAAGTCGGGGAGCATCTGTACTCCAGATGAGGCCTCACCAATGCTGAATAGAGGGGAATGATCACATCCCTCGATCTGCTGGCAATGCTCCTACTTATACAGCCCAAAATACCATTAGCCTTCTTGGCAACAAGGGCACACTGTTGCCTCATATCCAGCTACTCATCCACTGTAACCCCAGTCCTTTTCTGCAGAACTGCTGCCTAGCCACTCAGTCCCTAGTCTGTAGCAGTGCATGGGATTCTTCCTTCCTAGGTGCAGGACTCTGCACTTGTCCTTGTTGAACCTCATCAGATTTCTTTTGACCCAATCCTCTAATTTGTCTAGGTCCCTCTGTATCCTGTCCCTACCCTCCAGCCTATCTACCACTTGTCCCAGTTTAGTGTCATCTGCAAACTTGCTGAAGGTGCAGTCCACACCATCTTCCAGATCATTAATGAAGATATTGAACAAAACTGGCCCCAGGATCGACCCTTGGGGCACTCCGCTTGATACCGGCTGTCAACTAGACATGGAGCCATTGATCACTACCTGTTGAGCCCAGTAATCTAGCCAGTGTTCTATCCACCTTATAGTCCATTCATCCAATCCATACTTCTTTAACTTGTTGGCAAGAAAACTGTGGGAGACCGTATCAAAAGCTTTGCTAAAGTCAAGGAATAACACATCCACTGCTTTTCCCTCATCCACAAAGCCTCATCCTCATCACATCATAGAAGGCAATTAGGTTAGTCAAGCATGACTTGCCCTTGGTGAATCCATGCTGACTGTTCCTGATCACTTTCCTCTTCTCTAAGTGCTTCAGAATTGATTCCTTGAGGACCTGCTCCATGAATTTTCCAGGGACTAAGGTGAGGCTGACTGGCCTGTACTTCCCCAGATCCTCCTCCTTCCCTTTTTTTAAAGATGGGCACTACATTAGCCTTTTTCCAGTCATCCGGGCCCTCCCCCGGTCGCCATGAGTTTCCAAAGATAATGGCCAATGGCTCTGCAATCACAACCGCCAACTCCTTTAGCACCCTTGGATGCCGTGCATCCGGCCCCATGGACTTGTGCTCATCCAGCTTTTCTAAATAGTCCTGAACCACTTCTTTCTCCACAGAGGGCTGGTCACCTTCTCCCTATGCTGTGCTGCCCAGTGCAGTAGTCTGGAAGCTGACCTTGTTCGTGAAGACAGGCAAAAAAAAGCATTGAGTACATTAGCTTTTTTCACATCCTCTGTCACTAGTTTGCCTCCCCCATTCAGTAAAGGGCCCACACTTTCCCTGACCACCTTGTTGTTGCTAACATACCTGTAGAAATCCTTCTTGTTACTCTTAACATCCCTTGCTAGCTGCAACTCCAGTTGTGTTTTGGCCTTCCTGATTTCACTCCTGCATGCCTGAGCAATATTTTCATACTCCTTCCTGGTCATTTGTCCAATTTTCCACTTCTTGTAAGCTTCTTTTTTGTGTTTAATATCAGCAAGGATTTCACTGTTAAGCCAAGCTGGTCGCCTGCCATATTTACTATTCTTTCTGCATATCGGAATGGTTGGTTCCTGCAACCTCAATAAGGATTCTTTTAAAATACAGCCAGTTTCCTGTAATCTGGGCTTGACTATTGCAGTTCTCACTAAGAATAATGCTCCCTGATTTGAAAAAGCTCCAGCTCATCCAAAATGCAGCAGCTCATCTGCTTAACAGACTGCTGTGTGCCACCCCATCCTCTGCACGTCAGTGCCACACTCGCAACAGTGGCTTCCCATTGAGTAAATCTAATTCTAGGTCTCTGTCTTGATTTCAAAGCACCACCATGGGATGGGCCCCAGCTCCTTGACATGTAGCCTTTCCTTTTTAGTTAAAGTAATTTTAGTGACATTAGATGGATTCAGCTTTGGCTACATTCTCGAGTTCAACAGTTACCTCTGCCACTTGTTTCAGATCTAGAGCTCATAAGAACACATGAAAACCAAGGAAAGTAGCACATGCAATTACAGAGTAAGGTCTAATATATTTTATCAATGTTATTCAAGTTACCAGCACAGTTATGAATATCACAGCATGTATAAATTATAGATGCAGTCATACTCACATCCTCCTAGATAGTGTTAGGGTCTGATGGGTCTCTTATGGAGTGATCATCAGTAAAGGGATGGTTTCTGGTGGAGTTTTTCTATAGGAAGCTCAATTTTTCCAATCTGGGCTCCTTCTTTTTATAATGTGATTTTTGCCTATACCTACATTCTGTGCATGTGCATGAAAGTGTCAACCCTCTTTTCCTTTTGGTTTGGTGTTCCAAAAATCTTGAGGTACCCTGTTTTCTATAGGTTATGTATAGTTCCTTTTATTCTCATTAGCATTGATGCACAACATGTAGCCTGCGGTTAAGGCACACGTTAAACAAAAATGTGATTCTAGAGCATTTTTGCGATTTAAAATTAAACTTTTGGCTAATTTTTTTCAATTTCTTCACCTCTTGGTACATCTTTTCCCATAATCTTATGGCATTGGGTTATTTTTTGGTTACTTACTGATGTCAGCATTTTTTATTTCTAAGGCCTAAAATAGCTAAGCTAAAATTTTACAGGCCTCCGCCTATAGGCTTTGCGTTTCAGCCTTCCTTACTTAGATACCTAATACATATTTATGCCTTCTAACTACTAATCAATCTTATACTTTTATAATCCTATCACTTACCTTTAGTTAGCATACAATAATTATATATAACATGACATGTTAATTAATCATAACATCACAAAATAAATAATAAAATCAAATCATTGGCTATAGAGAGATGCCCTTTCTCCTCAACTTTCCACAATGGCTGCATGCCACTGGAACCATGAAGCTGCCCCTCTGTAGGGGAGGCTTGTGAGTGCGGGAGATGGAATCATCACAGGAGCTGGGCTCTGACTGTGGAATTCTCTGCCTGGTGAAATCAGAATGAGCACTAACCTCGTTGTATTTTGACCGAAGTAAAAGGCACACCTCTGCACCCAGGCTCGTGCTTTGTATTTTAAATAAATAAATAAACTAAACTCCACCTCAGTCCGCTCTTGCCAGTAGCGCAGGAATAGAAATTTCAGTGCTGTATCTTTCTACCTTTGGAGAGAACTCTGGTTCTATGGTAACCAGGAGCCATAGGATCATATTTTAAACTTCTCTTCCTCCCCTTCAAGGCTGGGCAGAACTCTGACACAGCTTTCATCTCAGGCAATTAATAATGTATTATGTAAATAATTGGAGATAAGTGCTGGGAAGGTGTATGGGGTGGGGGGCGGGGAGGCTGTGGCAGTGTCACAGGATGGCCCAAGAGGGAGGGGGCTGTGTGTGCATGAGAGCGAGTGAGCAAGCTGGTCTTGAGGAGAGTAGTGACTTCAGAGTTTGTGGCTTGATTCCGGCAATGTCGTCGTCTTATTTACATTACAATAGTGTCCAGAGGCCCCAGCCAGGATCATGGCCCCATTGTACTGGGCGGTGCACAAAGGCAGGGAGACATGGCCACTGCACTGTGGAACCAGGGATTGAAGCTGACTATTCTCTTTGGTACCTTCTCTCCCAGGGTCAATTTGGAGTCCAGGAAGAGGAGCTATTGAAATGCCTCATTTGTAAAGTGTCCGTAACCCGGGGAGAGCAGATTCAGCGTTTCCACACCCAGCAGCAGGCTGAGGGTAAGGGGCAGAGGAGGTCAATCAGAAAAATTGTCTGAAAGAGCCCTTCCAGACAAATCTGTCTTATCTGTGACCCTAGAGCCTGGTGTGGTATTGTCCCAACAGTGTATGTAAACTCTCTGGAGCAGGGATTATGTCTCCCAATGTGTTTGTGCAGCCCCCCTTGTAATGGGCCCTAATCCTGAGAGGGGCTTGTGACGGATTCCCCCTGGGGTGCCACCTGGAATTTGGATACCACTGAGCCCCCTTGACCCACCAGCCTGGGCTCCCTCTTACACTGTACTGCTGTGACAAGCTGCAAAGCTCTCCAGGCTTCAGCCTGCACTTTCACCAGCATACATACAGGTAGGGGGACACCCAGCTGCAGTTTCATGCAGGTGCTTTGACCAGCCCCTGCATAGGAAGGCGACAGCTAGGGTAACAACCAGCTTCTCAGGCATGCACCCCTTCTGGAGTATAAACCCAAAATTATACCGTCTTGCGCTGCACAGGGAACTGTACAGTGTAAGCTAATAAAATTCACCCCATCCCTCAGTGTGGAGAGAAATATGCAATAGCCTCCTGCCCCTGAGTTATGATTCCCACACACTGGTTTAGTTAAAGCAAAAATAAGTTTAACTACTACAAAAGATAGTTTTTAAGTGATTATAAGAGATTACCTAGCAAATAAACAAAAAATGCAAACTAAACTTAATACAGGCAGTCCTCGACTTTACGACGTTCAAGTTACAATGAACGGCACTTACGACGTTTATAAATTGTCATGTTTCGACTTTACGATGCTCGATCTGACATTGTTCCTATGGGAAATTCGAGTTACGATGTTTTCAACTTAAGATGTGATTTTTCAGGAACCAATTGTGTTGTAAGTCTGAGGACTGCCTATATACTAAATAGGGTGAGAATTTGCTATTCATATCCAATCTAAGTGATAATACAAGCAGGCTGCAGATTCTTAAGGGGTAAGCTGCACTTGCCTACAGCTTGGAATCCCCAGGTTTTCCATTCACAGGCTAAAACTCCCTTTAGCTTGGGTTCAGCACTTCCCCCAGTTCAGTCTTTGTTCCTCAGGTGTTTCCAGGGGTCTCTGTGTGGGGAGCGAAGAATCCCTGGTGATGTCACTCCCCGCCTTACATAGCTTTTGCATATGGTGGGAACACTGTTTCAAAGCTTAGTTCCCAGACTGGTCAGTGGAAAAACATTGACATCCCAAAATGGAGTCTAGAGACGTGGTCACATCACATGTCTTTGTAGAGTCATAGTAGCCATTGCTCGGAGGCTGTCCGTAGTGTCCTCAGGAAAGCTCCCCAGGTGGGAGATAAACTTCTTCTAAGGCCTATTGTTTTCCTAATGGCCCATTCCTCACCCACTTTCTAGAATGAAAACATCTTGTCTAGTGGGCATTACCCAGGTGTGACTTCATGTGAAATACAGATACATAGTTGATATTCATAACTTCAGATTAAAAAAATGAATATGATGTGACAAAGTTGCTCATCTACCTTGGTGGGTCCTACGCTTATTGGTGGATTTGCTCGCTTCACAGGTCCACCCTGTGGGTCAGGAAACAGTCCAGAGACCTTCCCCTCTGGTAGAAGCTATAGTCCAGGTCAATTCCTCTTGTGTTTGATCAGGAGTTGGGAGGTATGGGGGGAACCCGGGCCCGCCCTCTACTCCGGATTCCAGCCCAGGGCCCTGTGGACTGCAGCTGTCTATAGTGCCTCCTGTAACAGCTGCATGACAGCTACAACTCCCTGGGCTACTTCCCCATGGCCTCCTCCCAACACCTTCTTTGTCCTCACCACCGGACCTTTCTCCTGATGTCTGATAACGCTTGTGCTCCTCAGTCCTCCAGCAGCACACCCTCTCACTCTCAGCTCCTTGTGCCTCTTGCTCCCAGCTCCTCACACTCACTTCCACTCCCCCTGGCTTGACTGGAGTGAGCCCTTTTATAGCATCAGAGGGGCCTTAATTAGAGTCAGGTGCTTAACTGCCTCACCTGACTCTTAGCAGGTTAATTGGAGTCAGGTGGTCTATTAGCCTGGAGCAGCCCCTGCTCTGGTCACTCAGGGAACAGAAAACTACTTATCCAGTGACCAGTATATCTCCCTTCTGCTACTCTGCTGTTCCCAACTGGTCTGGGTCTATCACAATGATTATCCTATTTATATGCAGCAAATCATAACCTTTCCAATGACATCTCACATGACTTGCATAAAATACATCATAACTATGTTAGAATCGTATCATAATATCACTGAAGAATATGGGGTGCAGTGTCACAGGACCTTTAGGTATTAGTGCCATACATACCAGGCCTGATTTGTCAGAAGTGCTGTGGATCCACAAATCCCTTTGAAGTGGATGAGAGCTGCATGTGCTGAGCACTCTTGAAAATCAAGCCAATAATAGAATAATACTCCTGTGCTCTTTCCCATCTGGTTTTCAATGCAGTGAAAGGGCTTTTTAGTGTCTGCATTGTGGGGATGACCAATGCAGCAGACATCTTGCTTTGGCTCTGATGTTTGAACAGGGTCATTTTCTTCCTGTTATGGGCTTTTTTTTTTTTTGCTGTCCACAAGTCTGGCCTGCATCCTGAAGCTGGAAGTGGTTATAAAACACGAGCCACCTCCAGCTTTGTCAGACCACCTCCACATCCAGGCAGAAACAAGAGTTTTCCCCAGTGTGAAGAAAAAAGAAACTATCTGTATAGCACTCCTTGAAAACTTGGATCTCACCAAACTACTACACTGACAGAAAACTCCACTTAACTGAAAGACCAAGGGGTAGAGAGATCAGTGAGGTGCTACTGCGGCCATAGATACCCCAGCACCAAAGCCACCTCCCCACCACCCACATGGATCACTGTGGCTCTCCAAGAACCTGTAACAGGAAAAGTAGTAAGGAAGGAAACTTGAGCATCGGTGCTGGAAGCAGTGTGATAGAAGCAGGCTGAGACACAAGAAAGGGATCCTACAAACCAATGCCGGTGCAATGAAGGGGCAGAAAGAGACTGCCTCTCCTCTGCCATAGGGGCAGCAAAGTCACACCACACAGAACCCTTCTGGACTTAAAGTAATTTCAACTTAAACAGCCCTACAGCCCATGACTTCGCACTGTGGAGAATTCTTATTCCATAGAGATTACCTGCCCCAGGGATGGCTTCGCAGGCCTCCAAAAATAGCAGCTAAGAGCAGCTAAGAAATTCATGCTCCCAGCCCACTCCTATATTGTCATAGAGGCACTGATGGCATCAGGGCCACCCCTGGGACTCTGCCTCTCCCCTCCCCTGCAGTGGTGAGAGACTAGAGAGCACCTGGGACACTGACTAGTAGAGACTGTCAGTTGTCACCTTCTAGCGAGAGGAACCTAGTGCCCCCCCCCCCAATACCTAGCAGTCTGGCCTGCATCAAGAAACAGTCATTCAGCCCAAGAGACTTCCCAGTCCAGTGTCTGACCTCCCTTTGGTAAGCCAGCTCAGAGAGAAAATAGCAAAATCTAGTCTCCAATACCACCTGCCTGTGTCCTGGGTCTCTTTCAGTCAGGATTGAGGCCAGGGCCCGGCACAGACCCAGCACTTGTTGCTCCCCATGGATGCCCTCCTCTTGCCTTTATTCAAGGGGAGCCCATCCACATTCGTCCTGCTGGGTGGTCTCTGTCTTGCCTTCAAGGGGCTGCAGGGATGAAAGGAAAGGGAAGACCTGAAATGCCTCAGATCCAGCCCAGGAGGTTGTCCTGGACAACTGTCCCCCACAAAGCACTCAGCTCTGGGGCATCATATTCAGCTCTGCCATGATATTCAAGATTGGTATGATATTTTAGGGAGAGATGAGGAGACAATCAAAGCTACAGTATCAGCAGCACATGGACAGCACCCAGCTCTCCATCTCCTGTATGTCAGACACACCCAGCACCAGCTCCCTGTGTCTTGACTAAGATCAGCAGCTACATGATGGGGAACCCAGAACATAAAAACAGCCATACTGGGTCAGACCAATGGTCCCTGTCCAGTCTTCTCACTCTGACTATGGCCTGTGCCAAGTGCTTCAGAGGGAATGAACAGAACAGAGCAATCATCGAATGATCCATCCCTTGTTGTCCAGTCCCAGCTTCTGGCAGTCAGAGGCTAGGGACACCCAGAGTATGGGTTTGCATCCCTGGTGTTTGATTTAGCAGGTCTGGGGAAGACACGCTAAGTTGATGGGAGAGTGCTCTCCCATTGATGTCTCTACTCCACCTTTCCAAGTGGCAGAAGCTGTGTCGGCAGGAGAGTGTCTCCCATCGGTATAGTGTAGTGTAGACACCATTGTAAGTCAACCTAAGTTACATTGACTTCAGTTAAGTAAATTACATAACTGAAGTAGTATAACTTAGATCAACTTACAGTGTTAGTGTAGATCAGCCCTGAAAGTCCAAGTACACTGTATCCATTGGCACACCCTCGTCCACATGTTTGTTTGACCCCCTCAAACAATTCTAAATGATTGGTGAGGTATAATTTCCCTTTTCAAAAGCTGTGTTGACTCTTCCCCCAACAAATTGTGTTCACCTGTGTGTCTGATAATTCTGTTTACTATATTTTCAACCAATTTGCCTGGTACTGAAATTTGGTTTACTTGCCTGTAATTGCCAGGATCACTTCTGGAGCCTTTAAAAAAAAATAGTGTCACATTAGCTTTCCTCCAGTCAACCTATACAGAAACTGAGTTAAGCGATAGGTTACTTACTACACTGCAATTTCATATTTGAGTTCCTTCAGAACTCTTGGGTGAATACCATTTGGTTCTGGTGACTTATTACTGTTTAATTTATCAATTTGTTCTAAAACCTCCTCTACTGACACCTCAATCTGGGACAATTCCTCAGATTTGTTCCCTGAAAAGAATAGCTCAGGTGTGGGATTCTCTCTGTTTCTTTGCAGTAAAGACTGATGCAAAGAATTCATTTAGCATCTCTGCAATGGCCTTATCTTCCTGCAGTGCTTTTTTTTAGTACATTAGTTGTTGGCAGGCTTCCTGCTTCTGGGTATACTTAAAAA